CATCATCATCATCACATCATCACATCACCACCATCCTCATATCATCATCAACATCATCATCCTCACATCATCATCATCACATCATCTTCATCACCATTATCATCTTCATCACCATCATCTTCATTACCATTATCATCATCATCACCATTATCATCACTATCACCATCATCACCATCATCATCACCATCATCTTCATCACCATTATCATCATCATCATTATCATCACCATCATTATCACCATCATCTTCATCACCATTATCATTATCACCACCATAACTATCACCATCATCTTCACGTCATCATCACCATCATCATCATCATCATCATCATCATCATCACTATCATCACATCATCACCATCTTCACCATCATCATCACATCATCACCATCTTCACCATCATCATCATCATCATCATTACCCCTTGTCATATCAAATTGGAAATGTTTAAAACTTAATACTTTGTTATTTGGGTAATAATTAAAGATGATTAATGTATAATCTTGTAATAATATCTTGTTCAGGGACACGTGACAGTACATCGAGGTGAATGTGCAGATCTCACAGGGGCAGGTTGTTTCTGTGAGAGTCCAACACAGCCAATATGTCACATGACGCAGGAATAAAACGTCGCTGTTATGTAACAACATGTCGGCTGCATTCGCCGGCACCTCATCGTACGATCCAACTTCCATCAAGTCTGCGGTAATCACCACGGAGCTTCACGGTAAACCTTTTCAAAATAAAATCCACACAATGAGGTCGCGTTGTGGAGTCATGAAGAGTTTCCTGTTTCCTCTCGGTTCGTCTGCTTTCTCCCGCAGACTTGACGCACCGTGCGTCGTGCGTGGCTGCGTCGCCGGCAGAGGAGGCGTTTGCGCATCGCACCACAACCGCTGCTGCTGCTGAGGAGGAACCGGCTGTACTGCGCTGAAAGTCGGGGACACGCAACCGACACCTTCCCCCCATCACCCCACTGTCACCTCACAGTCATCCCTGCAGCCCAAGCATTTCGCTTTTAGAGATTTTACTCAACTGCGTCAAAATGATCAAGAACAGACACCACTGCCACCAAGTGAGCGCAGCAGCAGCAGCCGGGAAAGACGCAGGGGCGACCCCCGGCGCTGCACCGTGCAGTCCCGAGAAGAGGAGGCGAAGAATCCGGGTGTGGTGCGATGGTTGGTGAGTGACTTGACGGGTGACTGATGGTGTGATGAAGATGCTACGATGTCTTTTGCATGGAGCACTTGTGCTGTACGTATGATTGTGTGAGCCTCGCACCGGTACAGGCCTGCAGCCGGTTACAGGGCTGCTGCTGCTTGATCCGTAAACTTTAAATTCAATGTGATCTAACATGAGGGGTTAGAATGGTCTGACAGATCATTCAGCACAATGCTTTTTGAATTGATCTTATCACTGGAGCATCCATGTCTCAGTTTTCCACCTCAGTGGTCACTTATTACATAATAACGTCCATCACAATAGATTTACTGTATGTGAATATTGGGTGCAGTAATTCATCATAACTCCCACTAACCATGATGAGAGTGACATTATGTATTAATATATATATGTACTCCTTCTTGCTTTGCAACACCTAATAAGATGTTACACATTCACCTCCACAAAATCCCACTATACGTTTTAACTTCAGTCAACATTAAGCACATGCACATTGCACACTGTCCCTACTGTTTACTAGGATGCTACAATGACCCCTCTACAACCTTTGTCTTCTCTCAGCTTGATGTAATGTAATGTTACTAGAGTTTTACGACCAAAGGCCTTCCATGACACACAGGTGATAGATTAACGTGAACGCACCTAAGGCCAGGGTAAAAATAAGCACATGCCTCAAAGTGTAGCAGGTTGTTTATTGGCCCATGTTCCACCCTTCCACCAGGTTTCAAGAACATTGCTTCTGTAGATTTAGCCTGCTAACAGACAAGCAGTGAAAACATAACCTCCTTGGCTGAGGTAATAATGTGAGTCACTGCAGGACAACTGTGTGCTGAGTTCTGCTTGTTGCTCTTTGTCTTCAATAACCTTTTAACTCTTACAACTGTGGATGACAGGAAATAACCTCGTCATTGACAGGTAAGCCTGATGAAGACACTGAATAGGTTTAATGGATAGTTCTGGGTGGAGTTACACTTTGTTTTTAAAATTGATTGGAGGCATTAAAATCTTCTACAGTGTCGTCTCGTCTCAACTTCAAGCTGTGTCAGCACTCTGATATGTCACTCTCCTCCCCTTGACTCTTTTAGTCCACTCTGATGCTGAGCTCCACTGAAACGTATCATATTCACAAAATTTCTGCTGCTTAATTTTTAAAGAGTCATTTCATCCAAGTTCCATACTAATATTAACATACAATATTTTCCAGTTTATCCTGATTAAAGGGATAGTTCACCCACTATCCCGATGGAGGGGTGGGTGAAGTGTTTGAGTCCACAAAAACTTTTGGAGTTTCAGGGGTTAACAGCGTTGCAGCCAAATCCAATACAATTGAAACTGTGACCGATTCTTCAAACGTGGTAGTGGCACATGACGTATCGACAACATCCACTTCCTTTCAGAAACAATGTCCACAGGCCTCGTAATGAACTGTTTCTCATGAGGCAGTATTTTCTGCAGAAGGTAGACAATAATGAAAGCTGTTGACGCATTAAGTCTTTGGCTTATCAAGAGAAAGACACCACGTGGCTGAAAATGAAATTCTTCCCTCGAACATATTAAGTTGGTAATGGAATTTTCTACAGTAGATTTGAGTGAATCGAGGAAACGGAGTAGAGCTGCAACAATGAAATGAATAGCTGATGAAATTAATATTAAAAAAATCTTCGAAAGTTTCTCAAGCAGAATGTTCAATGGTTCCAGTTTCCCAAATACGAGAATTTTATATTTTAAATGAAGGCAACCGGAATAGCATTTGGACTGTTTGTTGAAGTAAACAAACAACTTATAATTAGCTGCTTGGAGTTAAAACAGCAACTTGTCATTGTTTTCTGACTTTTTATAGACAAAACTGATAATTGATTATCTGCATCTAGCATGGTGACTCCATTGTGCAGCAGCAGGATTATGGAGGCTTTCTCTTGTAGAATTCCTGCCATGTAGGTGTGGCTGCCCATCCATGGTTTGATGGCATGTTGCAGAATATTTGGGATGCCGGAATATTAACCGCTGGGGTGAGCATGCAAAGAAAGCCAATGGCAACAGCGCCCATGTCATTAACCTCTCTAACCCCTCCAGCCCACACCTGCTATATGGATACTGCAGTGCCCGTCACTGAGCACATTGTTCCCTGAAGCCCAAATGGTCATCACCATGCTCTTACTGACATCCATGCACCGTCAGCAGTATGAGGGGAAAATTCCAAGGAGAGCGCAGTCAACCTCATCTGCTGACATTTGACCCTTCCCCTCCGCACAGAGAAGCTCTGTGTTCTTATTTGTTGGCCTGGAATGAGATGACAGGGGCTAAAGATCAGCTGTAACAGGAGCATCATCAAGTGTGAGGTCAAAGTCCACGTCCACTGTGGATCTGCTGAGTTGGTGTGTACATACAATCTATAAAAATGCTATACAGCCTTGGTGAAGCAACGCTGTGTTTTTCACTCAGGCTCATGACACTATTGAAACTACTGAATTTTCATCAGGTGGAGCACAATACTTATCTAGTCTGTTTTAACTTCATCCCAGTGGCCATAATACAACATCGTCAGAAAATTCTCAAATATCCCAAGAATCTGAATAGAGCTGGGAAAATCTGCCTTTTGCCTCCATGCACCACACGCTTGGAATGAGCGGCAACATCACATACGTCTCGTGATATATTCTCACCTTGTACACATAACGTCTGTCGGGTTTAGTTCTTGAGAAGCGTATAGGTGTTGTTTGGGTGTCCGCTAACAGTTTGCACTGCATAAATATTTCATCCCCTCTACGTGGCACTGCCAAGATCCACCCAGCAGCTGAAAAATACAACAGGACTATACGGTGACATGTTAGGGCGTCTGGCTCGTATAACACCCCAAAAGCAGCCTCTCTCCTTGTGTTATCTAACTCTGTCTGGGTCTCACAGCTTTTCTTCTCTTTTCATTCACCTCCAAACCCCCCCCCCCCCACACACACACACTTTACTACATTGTTCCTTGCCTCAGACCCTGAACACATGGATCCCATATCAGCAGATTGACGACACAAGACGCAGTAAAACTCTTGGCTTCCACCTTTGTGGATTTTGACAAAGTTGTGTATGTATCTAAATCGCCCGGTCCAGCCTATGTAAAGTGACAATGCAGCAAGACACAGATGCTGTTTCTCATTAGAAACGCCCGAGGCTAGAAACAACACAGGATTCTGTGACTGTTGTGGCCCTGCACATACTGTAGAGTTGGCAGCACTCATCCATTTTTGTAATCTATTTTTGAGGATGCTATTTATAGTGTTGTATAGCTTTTTACTCCTGGGATTGCTGATGCATAATCTAATGCACTAAAGACGATGCAGTTGCCAAATGTGTGTGTTTTTTCCCCCGCTTGAACATTGAGTAATCATTAAGTTGACATTATGACTTTCTAACTTAATTGTTTATTCAGCATTTTCTGTTTGTTGTCCTAATAAATCAAACACATCATCGAATATAGAGCCCATTCCTCCACCAAGACCCAACAGTCCCCTTAAATTCAATCAAGCTGCTCTTTCACCCACTCAGATATCAGGTACCCAAAGATCTGTGAATTATTTCTGAGGGAAAATGTTGAAGACACGCATCTCACAATGTTAAGGACAGTGAAAAATATTTACTGGATCTGCTGCCTGATCTGGATCCACACCAAAATTGAATGGGCATCCTTCCATATGTTAATCTGTTCAGTTGTTTTTGTGTAATCTCGCTTATGAAGGAAAAACTACCAACACAAAAACAATGAACTGACTGGAATGCCACTCATGATATTATATGTCAATATCATGTTCAAAGTGGAAAGAAAAGAAAAATGATCAGACTGATTTCAGCCGCCGGTCGTATAGTGAAAGTGAAGTCTAATGCCCATCGGTTCTCTACTACTGTGCTAGATTACCATGTTACAATCTCAGTCTCCGATCCGTGCTAATCTAATTATCCACAGATGCTATCATTGGCCTGAGCAGGGAGAAAAGGGAGGAACACATTGCTGCTTTCACTCTTTTTTGATCATATGATGTGGGTGCGTTGCACCAGTGGGTTGTTATATCAGTAACACTTTAAATACACAAGGATCATACTGGTGATTTGCATGTTTTAGCCCATGGAGTAAAATTCTGATCATTTCCTGCGTTTTGGCTTCTTTAATCATTCAGCCATTTCTAACTTTGAGAATAGTGTTCATTAAAACGTCACCTTGCTCTTGTCCAGTGCACCAGGCCTTATTCAACACATACTCTCCAGTATCGGGATGTTGCATTTTTTCATTTTGATGAAACCCTGATGGAGCCAAACCTTGTTACTGTTATGCCAGAAATGTTGTGCTTTTTTGTCAGATAAAATTTAAAATTAAATATGTGAATATTCATGTTTTTTTTCCCCCCCACCAGCTATGACATGGTGCATTATGGCCACTCCAATCAGCTACGGCAGGCCAAGGCCATGGGAGAGTACCTCATCGTTGGAGTGCACACAGACAGTAAGGATGAAACAGTGATCCTTACACTAAAATAATTGTCGCTATCATTCCTACAACTTCAATAGAAGCTACTTGGCTACTTTGCTAACATTTTTTGAAGTCCAACTCATCTCTACCTGACATTTCGCCCAGTTCTGATATTTCTCTCGCCTTCACCGTTATGATTTTGCCTGTACCTGCTGAATCTGGGGAGTCATGGCACCTGTAGCATCTGGATATTTCCCTCAGTTCCATCATTACCAGCCAGGCACCAGCTGAGTCCTATACACACAAGAGAGGTTGTTGCGACTCAGCGATTGTGTCTCACCCTCCTGTGGCACACCGGCAGAATTCTGACATTTTGACAACCCAGAATGACTCCCTCAGTCAGGGTCAGCACAGATACCAGCAACAAGGCGATGATGCATTACATTTTTCTAAAAGTTCATTTCAGAGATTTCTCTCTCTGTTTGTTTTTGATTTCAAGGTGAGATCGCAAAGCACAAGGGTCCTCCGGTCTTCACTCAGGAAGAACGATACAAGATGGTGCGGGCCATTAAATGGGTGGATGAGGTCGTGGAAGGAGCGCCTTACGTCACCACCCTCGAGACCCTCGACAAGTACAACTGTGACTTCTGTGTGCACGGAGGTACTACATGACACTTAGACACACAAATTGATTGGCAGTCATAAAGCTGGATCACTGATTTTGGAGAGCGGCTACTGATGTAACTAAAATGATGCTGTCATTTCAGATGATATAACTCTAACAGTGGATGGTAAGGATACGTACGAAGAGGTGAAGAAGTCAGGACGCTACAGGTGAGCCCCTTCAAATATGCACCAGATACTAATAACAACTGGCCATGGTACTGAGCAGAGTGCATACCTCCACCAAGGCCCAAGAGTCCCTTTAAATACAATCAAGCTGCACAAAACGTGGCCTAGATGTGCCTAATTATTATTATAAGATCCATGAATTAGTATTTAGGTTCAATGTCAAAAAACACTGTTAAAGAAAGTGAAAAAAAAAGAATCCTGGACCCAATCCCCGATCCAGATCCGCAACAAACTTGAATTATTTCTTCCCTGAGACATACCGCATCCTTCCACTAAGTTTCGTTGAAATATGCTCAGAAAGTTTTGTGTAATCTTGCTTACAAACAAACAAACCAACCAACAAACAAATGGGCAAGGGGTAAACATCACGTCCTTGGTGGAGGTAATAACAACAGTAGGGACGGGATGCTGTGTGTGTGTTTCATTAATTGTTACACTGTGTGTTATGTCGTTTCAGGGAGTGTAAGAGAACCCAGGGAGTTTCGACCACAGATCTGGTCGGCAGGATGCTGCTGATGACAAAAGCACACCACAGCAACATTGTGAGTGCAGCTTTATTGCCTCTCAGTGATTTTATCACACAGAACGAGTCTAATTCTACCCTGTGTTCTCTCTAGGATAGTTCAGACTATCAGCAGCACACAGACAACTTTGGAAAGGTAGGTACCAAACATATTTCCAGCTTATTATTGTTATTTCACTTTGTCAATATCAAATCTCCAGCTCAACTACCAAACCTTCAGCAGACGCATGTTTGAAACAAAATCTTTTGTAATTTAGTTTAAGCTGCCATGTGGGCAGGATGTCAACCATTGCCAAACAATGGTTCACTGTGCAGCCACAACAATCAAGTAGTGGGCCCTTGCCAGTGAACAGTGAATGGCGACTCTGTTCCTGCTTGGGGAAAGTAACTTAAAGTCACCAAGCAGTGGTTTTGAATGGTTGTGAAGGCAATAGATGGTCTCCTCACATCTGAGCATTTAAGATTTCAGGAAGAGTAATGCTGTGAGTTTGGCGAGGGCTGAATAAATTCACTGCGTTTGAGTTAAGCCACCGACCAAATGTGACTACTGCTACTCACACCACTGGGTGGCGATAATGCAGCACACTTATTCTAGTTTGAACTGCCAGGCACTCTGCAGTGATGATATATACCAGAGTTTATGGGTGTTACTGCCATACTCATTATGCCTGTTTCTGGATTATGGGGGTCGCATGCTCAGAGGGGCCACAGTCCCTGGACGGGGGTGTCTCAGTTCCTGCAGACGTCACAAAAGATAATCCAGTTTGCCTCAGGCCAGGAGCCTCAGCCTGGGGACACCATCATCTATGTGGCAGGAGCCTTTGACCTCTTCCGTATCTTTTTAATGACCAGACCTGCAAATAAGCTGTTGTATGATTACGTAGTTATAATCCAAATACATGTATAATTTATCTTCCAATGTATGTATCATCATCTTGTGAACTGTTACATAATTTACTATAATTTGCCGTCGCCCTTGACCGGTCTCCTTGTCAGACATTGGCCACGTAGATTTCCTGGAAGCAGTGCATAAGCTCGCAGACAAGCCATACATCATAGTGGGGTTGCACTTTGATCAGGTGAGCGTCTGGCTTTTTTTATGAGACTTCACTGCCTCCTAAAGTCCAGTGTTGCCATTTTCTATACATTTTGATCATGTTCATATTTTTCTAGGAGGTGAATCGTTACAAAGGGAAAAACTACCCCATTATGAATGTCCATGAGAGAACGCTCAGCGTCCTGGCCTGTAGAGTGCGTTCATGCTCACTCTCCATCAACACAAGGCACTGCACATACTTTATATATTTTTCACATAAATACAAATCCTTAATTTGTGTGCTTTCTTTCACAGCATGTGTCAGAGGTGGTGATTGGTGCACCCTTTGCAGTCACAAAAGATTTGCTGGACCATTTCAAGGTATATTAAACTTTTGCCACAAGATAATAAGTAGAAGTAGAAGTAAGAAGTTTCCCTCGATAAAAACACTTTAACATGGTTCTGTGTCAACAGGTGGATCTCGTTTGCCATGGAAAGACAGAAATATACCCTGACAAAGATGGATCTGACCCTTATGCTGTAAGACCATAAACACTGCCACATCATATGGACATTTTTAGAAATGTTAAATAATCCACATTGATGGTGCATCAGAGTTTTTAGAAAAAAATGTTCCTTCATACCCAGGAGCCAAGGAGGAAAGGGATCCTGCGCACTGTCGACAGTGGCAACAGCCTCACCACAGATGCCATCGTGCAGAGGATAATCAAAAACAGGTAGAATATCTACTGTGCAAAACAATATTTTTGAAGTAAAAAACCATAGACTGTTTATAAAGAGTCTCCACTTCCTACCACTATCCAGAAATGAAGCTAACAAACGCTGCCATTTTGTGTATTTGAGTCTGCTCAGTAGCGTTTGGGAGATGGAGTCGTTTGATACATGCCCTCAACCAACATCAAGTAACTCATTAAAAGCAAACTCACTGGAAAAATTAGCACTTGAATAAACACCAGTGTGATAAACCTAAAATAACAGAAACCATCTTTGACGAAAAATGATTTGGCATGACTTTTTCTTTTAGTTGGTCCATATCCCACCATTAACATGGAGGAGGTGGGAATTATGCCCTGTACTGCAGCCAGCAAACAGGGGGCGATCAAGAGCCATCATGTTGCCCATCTTTATATACAGCCCTTACACTTTTTGTCTGATGTGCTTTGTGTAATTTAGGTTGCTGTTTGAAGCGAGGAACCAGAAGAAGGAGGCCAAAGAAATCGCTGTGATCCAGGCCATGAAGCGGAAAGAGGAGGAGAAGACTAAAGAAAGAGCCCAGGCTGTGGTGTAGGGGAGGCCCCCCCCAAAACAAAAGGCAGCAACAAGTGTCATTACAACGCTGACAAGCTCAATGGAGTTAATCTCATGTACAGTTTAAAACAAATCCTTTATAAGCTCCACACACGATCCGGGCTCAGAACAGCAGCCTGTTTGTGGCCAGAGTGGCACAGTCTGCTGCAGGCTCATCAGGTATACCATGTGTGTTAGTGTTTATTAATGTACTCTACATATGCAACTACATGTTCATGTCAGTCAGACACACAGAATTATGTAACTGCTGAGGTTTGGACGATACAAACAAAAGAAATGTTAGAAGAAGGAAGTAATCACCATGTCTTCAACTGTCTATTTTATGTTTTTCCGAATTTTTTAAACTCCTGCACTAGTTTTATTTTTGGATTTAAAAAAAGAAGACAATTGGGCATCTTAAAAGCAAGTGCAGAGATGCTGGTCAGGCATTTAACTATAGCAAGAAAGAGATTTCACTCGTTGTTTCCGAACAACGGGCTCAGGCCCACAACTGATTTATCCTTGTATATACTGTATGTACTGTACGTATATATTATAAAGTGATTGCTGGCGGTCTGGAGGATGATGAAACCACTATAACGTCAGCTTTTCTTGCTTTGACCTTCTGGGACCTCATGTATATATAACAGATCCTGCTCCAGACTGCACTGACTTTTCATAAACCACACAAGCTGTTTGGATTTTGTTTTAAGAGCAGGTTTGTAACTAAAAAGAAATGCACAGTGTTGAAACCTGCACGTGTTGCCTTTTGAGTGCACTTTTTATGTTTCTCTTTTTTTGAACCAACACTCCTTAGATTTATTCTGATATAGAGAAGGCTACAGTCAGATTTTACCTTTAGTTTTGATTACAGAACTATGACATAAAACAATGGACATAAACAACTCATCCTGTCTCTATATCCCACGGGATTAAATGATATATTTTTTTGTAAATGTATATTTTACTCACCTCCTCTACATTAACCAATGTATAGATTCATATTGTCTAAAAAGCAAAGTAAAATATCTGTGTTTCAAGTTGGAATGTGTTCAATGTCGGTTATAATGTTAATGACAACTCCAAGTTGACAAATACTGTAAAAACTGATGGTACTACAGTGTATTATGTTGACTGTAATAAGAAGTTAATCTGAAATGCTGTTTGTCATCTTGTGTTCACTAAAAGAGAGAATGTCTACAAGGATTATCATGTCCACTTCATTCCCTCAGTAATAAGGCTATTGAGCAGGCTGCACATCATGAAAGGTAACTTTGTGTTTTGGATGCAGATTTGACCTTTGATTAGAAAAGATGATCTTGAATTTTGCAACATGTGTCTCACACAGAGTTCGTTAAATGTCAGACCATTAAGATCAGATTATTTTAGCAGCAGACTGGTACCCAGCAAAGTTGTGTGAGCTTATTTATACTACAGCAAAGGTCAATAGGATATGTACGGGGAATGTGTTTAAACTGGAAGTATGAAGTCCCTTGACTAAGTGCCACCGACCTTTCGGTGCATGTTGCCAGTGCAGATGATTAAACAACTCGCGTGTAATTTATTGACAAATTCCCCAATTTGTGGTCATGCTGTACTTTAAGAGGCATTGGTGATGTTTCGTTATGAATCTATCTATCTATCTATCTATCTATCTATCTATCTATCTATCTATCTATCTATCTATCTATCTATCTATCTGTCTGTACATCCTTCTATCCATCTATCTATATAAGAGCTGATTCATAAACATACATATATAAACAACATAGACTTTTTTATCTATCTATTTGTTTGTCTGCCAATAATGATAATAATAATAATTGATGTGAATAATTTGAAAAGTAACTAGTCACTGGGCTATGTTAAATAGAATACATGAAGTATTGTTAGTTTAAAATGGAAATACCAAAAGTAAATGCAGCCTATCTCAAATGTAGGTTATTGGCTTCATTTCACCAAAGAAAAATATATTTTTTCAATATTCACCAGTGAGGTCAAAAGTGTAAAGTTCATTTTTGAAGAAAGTCTGTTTTTTCCTGGCTGACCTGAACGCGTCTCTGCCCTTTAAAGCACTGGGCCTTGCACATGTGCCTCTAATGAAGCTTTATTAAGGAGCTGATCACTTTTCTCTGTGAAACACAAACACTTGGGATCTGAAAACAGTGACGACTCACCGGAGAGAGGAGCGACACCAACCATGCTGTGTTGTCTAAAAGTCCTGCCAGCTCCTCTGCAGGTAGAAGTACTTTGAGTACAAGTTTTTTTTAGTTCTTGGATTCATTTCTTTAAGTCACATTGAAAAAAAAGACCAAAAAAGCTATTACTAGCAACTAAAATCATCTGATGATTTCTTTTAACCTTGCTGTTTTTATAAGTAGAATAATTGATGGATATTTGAAATGAAAAATGGAATCAACTCATTTATACACACATCCATAGGTCGAGCTTCTCCAGGTTGGCAGTTAAATAAAACAATTATTTTAATAAGTTGCAAATTGGTTTCTTCATTGTTTCTAAAGGAAGAATGAGCTACGTAAAGATCAGTACACTCCCTGGTTTCTCTACAGATCTGCATGGGAATTTGCCTCCACCAGGATGTCACAGAAGAGGGTAAAAAGGCCAAACTCCAGAGCTCCAAAATAGAACAGGATCTTTGTGAACATGCCAGGACTGAGATGAACGTGGTGAAAATCCTCATGCTTGGTAAGTTAAAGGTATTTACTGTATTTTCTCCCATTTCATCATGTTTGATGAGGTAATGACTCTGTGGTTTTGTGCATCAGGAGCTGCAGAGAGCGGGAAGAGTACGCTGATCAAGCAGATAAAGATCATCCACAGTCATGGCTTCTCCAAGCAGGAGCTCATCAGTTTTCAGGTAAAGACCCATCAGGCAATTGTGATGGAAATGGAGCATTATTATTATTATTATTATTATTATTATTATTGATAATTAGCGATAACTCTTTTTACAGGCTTCAGTGCTCGATAACCTCCTGACCTCTATGAAGTTTGTCCTTCGTGGAATGGGGATGCTGAGGATAAACCTCGCCAACAAGAAGAACAAGGTGACGTCATACAGACTGCTGTTGAGTTTTAAAATGCAGTTTCATCAAATCTGCTTTTCTAAGTTGAACCGCCACTTTATCTCACCAGATGTCAGTGTTTTATCAGGGGAGCTGTGTATAATTGAGATATTTTGCCTCATCCAGGTGCACGCTCGCTCCATCCTGTCCTGTAGCCAGTGTTTGGGGGATGACCAGGAGCTGCTTCCCTTCGTGGCCCATGCCTTGTGCGCGCTCTGGGCCGACCAAGGCGTGCGAGCAGCTGCGGCCAGAGGCTACGAATTTGAGCTGAACGACTCTGCGCTCTAGTGAGTACAATGACCACAGGTGATCAACACTGCACGGTAACACGGCCTGATCATGGCTGACGGTGGAAATGTCAAAGGAAATTGCTTTTGTCACACCTTGTTGATACAGAGCAACTGTAAAGCCGGTGCTGAGAATAAGTCATCTTCAGGATTCCTGAAGATATTTGTGGAATCGGAAGCTTAATTGGGGCCAAATGTAAAAAGCACTGTTAACAGATATTAGCAGAAGCTGGAGAATAAGGAGATGAAATGGACTGAAGATGAAGATTTGGGGGCTTATGATGGAAGATTGTACAATACATTTAATTTCAAATGACGTCGATAGATTATGTAACAGAAGTTGGATTACAGACAATATGTTTACCGGACTTTTAAAAAAATATATAATTGTGGTCAGAACACATTTGTCCAATTGCTGTCCTGCAGCTGTGCAATTACATCCTTTCAGTTCACTCAAAAAAGCAGCCTGTATAATGTTATGAAATCCTAACTCACTACTCTGCATGGATCATTTGTTTAAAGGGTGTTGAATCATCAGCTGAAGGGTGGATTGTTAACTGAAGAGGGACACATCTCGCTAAATGTCATCATACTGCTTATTGCTCCTATTTTCATGACAACTATGAGTTTGTTTCCCCTCTCCCAGCTGACACAGCTAGTGATATAAAAGGGCGTCTTGTATTTCTGGAGAATATTTGATATTCCTTTTTCTACATGAAGCTAATGTTACGCTTTCTTTAACTTTTTGAGAAAGGGCTTTTTCGATGGCTGACATTAATTGAAATTTGTTATGGATTCAAATTAAAATCTGGATCTGGTTAATTTTAAATCCAGTTTGTTGGTTGGTTTATTTCTCAGATATTTACAGATTTCTGTGGCAGAGGGATGAGACAAGAAAGAACCCATTCAATTTCGGTGATTATTCAGGATTGTCGTTGTCACGTTCTTTAACATCGTAAGGTATTTTCTTTGACATTTTCTCAGATTCCCCAGGCAATAATTCATGGATCTTCATTGAACAAAACGTATATTTAGGGGAGTTCACTGAATTGAAGGGGACTGTTGGGCCTTGGTGGAGGTATGAGATCTACTGATGGCCATTCTAGTTACATATTGCACCAACAGGGAATTCATGCTGAGCTATGAGCCATGTTTGTACTGTACATCTCTAAGTTGCTGTTATCAGACCTTTTTATAACTCTTCCTTTCATACTTTTATTCTCTTGTTCATCTACTGTTATTGTTCTGACCTTCCTGCATAGCTCATATTAAAGATGCCTTCGATGAACTTACAAACGACAACACACAATGAACCGTGACCACTGCTGCTGACATTGTGTAAACTCTTTAGAATGAAGGTTAAGATTTTTTTTCCCCAGTCGCTTGTCTTTTTGAATGAACTTGAAATAAGTTGACTGATTAGAAGTCCTTATCTCGTGGGCAGCAGGGAGCAGGTTTGCCAAGTCACAAAATGGCCAGACAGAGAAAGATGAAGATGTGACAGCTTCATTATCGGAACTCAATTAGGTTTGGAGCTGCAGGATGATATGAAACTAGGCCAGTTCTTTTTGGTGTTCTCACTCTGCCCGACCCCACATTGATTTGTTCCTCCAGGAACATTGGATTAGACTGTGTCTTGACACGCCTCGACTTTCCACATTTGAAAATGACTTCAGTGACATTGGGGTTCAGCATGAATTGAACTGTCAATGTCCCTAAAAAGAAATTTCCATGTGCAGCCTGTGTTTTAGAAATCCACCCTAATCTCCATTATCAAATCAGTTCATGATGTGTATTGTTCTCCTGTTGCCTCTCCAGTTTCTTTGAGAACATGAGTCGAATCATCGCTCCCAACTACGTTCCCACCGAGACAGATGTTCTGAGAGTGAGAGTGAGGACCTGTGGAATCATTGAGACGCAGTTTCAAGTTAATGAAACAATATTTCGGTAAGACTTATGAAACTAAATTCAAGAGTGGTTTCAAGGTGATAAACACCAACAACCACAACATTAAATCAGCACAATGTTGTGGCTGGTGCCCTGCTCTCCACATACAGTATGAATAATGTGCACCAGCACTGGAAACTTAATGTTTTATAATAAGTTCAAAAGGGTAAAGGCTTTAATGATTCACATTGAACTCATGGAAAGTTGCCAGAAAAGGTGGCATCATATTTTACATTTACTGTTGCAGTAACAATTAAATTCCTGAATGTGCACAGTTAATATTAAAACAATATTTCACATTTTTATACTCTTGAGATAATTGGATTTGTATTTTTGCACCGTTGTATGTACAGTCAGGGAATTCATGCGTGATGGTCAATTCTCTTGAAACATTTAACCAATTCCAAACGTGAAAAGTTAAATCAAGAATATAAATCTGGATTTTACACATGAAAACCACATTAAATTCCTCCATTGGGATGTCACTGAACAAACTGTAATATGTACAAGTACTGACAGCAGCTCACAAAGTAACTCAAGAAGCCTTACAAGACACAGACGGGGCTGTTTTGCCTGTAATACATACATTGCAACTACACTTTATAATGTAAATAACAGTTACGAGTTAATGGCACACACAATATTGTGTAAGTTCACAGAACCTGACTGAATGTTGGCTGCGACGTGTCTACATACACATGTCACAATTCAGTTTTATTTATCTGGTGAACTGAGGGTAGGGCATAAAAAATTTTAATTGGTCACAAACACTGACAAGAAAAATATACAATCAAAATACACTATATGCATGAATACAACCCAAGGCCTTAAAAAGAATAGAATAAAACCAAACTTGGAAATAAATCAAACCTCAAGATATGAAGTGTATAGATGAGACACCTGTGACCCACTAGATAAAGTGCATATGCATATATTAAAGAGAGGTATCAGGTTTATTGCAGAGTGGCCTGTAGTTTTATTTGTGAGTTATAAAACTTTGAATTAATGTGTATTTTCCATGGTATTTACTGTCCATGGAGTCGTCATACACACTTGAACATGCTGCTCTCTGAGGATGCAGTCGCCCCTGGAGACTTAACCTCCTCTAAACCGAGGGAGGCTGCTGCCTGGGCACGACTTGGACATGAAATATTGATGGCCTCACTCCACCTGGTTATTCCAGGAGTAAAATATGGAGGGAACATAGTAATGACGCACCAACACCTCCTACCCTTCCTCCTTCTTAACTTTTGTTTCCAGAATAAGCAACGATGCTCCCTGTGTACTGTCACTATGAAGGCAGTCACTGCATGGGTCATAGGAAGCTGAATTCATGCTGTACAGGGACTTCATGCATATTACATACACTGTCGTTAGAATCGGGATGCTTAACTTTGTGAAATGGTAAATTTTATTGCACATTTTTTCAGAGTATCTGCAGGTCGTAAAGTCATAAACCATATTTAATTCAGTTCCCTCAGACACTGTATCGTAAGCAGAAATATTTTCTTTCACTTCAGGAATGTTATTGAATAGAATTGCATTCAGTTAGAAATAAATGCATTGTTTTAAGAATTGTGGTTCACAAACCAAGAACAGTTTAGAGATGGATGTATTTTTGATAATCAGCCAAGGTTTAAAGACATTTTTTACACAGATGCTACAAAGAAATTAACTCATCAAATGTGTGCACTAAAGACCATGCACAAGAAAATGGTATAAAACAATCTCCTTTTAATTTGATGCTCAGATTCTATTGCCTGCTTGTATAAAGTCAAATGTTTAGTACATTTTATATTGTGGGACATGCTTCGGAGCAACTCAGTCTCACAGTTCGCTCCAAATGGCTAAATTCAAACATTATTTCTCGTTCTTTATTTTCTAGGTCCTTGTCTTCCACTTAATATCTGGGGGAAAAAAACACGGAGACCTTTCTTGTGCTCACAAGCGATGATTTTTCCGCGGCACAGAAACGACGGCTGTCAAATACCACAGTTAACACTTATTGTCCCCCAGCTTGTTCAAACTGACTCTTGACCTGGAGCGTAAACGCTTCGTTGCCTCTGACATGACTCGTGCAATCATGCACCTGGAGACTCTGTCCCAAATCAAATCATTACCTGTGTCACCAAGACCCTCGGCTTCGCTTAGTGCCAGATTGTGTTTTGAAATAGATTGCTCCAATTTTTGCCAGGGTGAGACAGTTGAGCTATTTTTCAAAGGTTTGTCTGGATGGAGGTGAGTTTTCCCCGGACAACAGGCATCAGTGAAGTTATCTATGAAATGTATTTGGAATATTTTACTTGAACATGGTTATTCAGTCCCTATAATTTAATAAGAAATACCTGCGACTGTCTAGAATAATTCAAGGTACTACTTCATTGCCTGTTTTAAACCTGCCTGTTGGAATGGATTGTGGTAATGCTACAGAGACTACTTCAGAATTATTCTTTGGCCTCTAAGTTTTTTTGGGTGTTGGATGTTGTGTGCGCAGCAACAGTCTCTGTTGCCAAGTGAAGTTTGTATTAATCCTCCAATGAAGATTTTATATCCCACTTCTGTTGTTTATCTGAGGACGGAGAAGAAGACATTTTAAACTTTGACACAGACCTAAGGCACATTTCCCCGCCACCCCCACTGACTCACACCAAACTGGGCACTACACTTTCACTTCCAACTATCAGTACGCATGTGTGAAGACTATAAGATGAGGCATTCTGGATATGTGCTCCACACTTTAGTGGCACATGGTGAAAATGCTGCCCGATGAATCACGTTATTCCTCTTTTTGTACTTGATATTTTTTTTGCTTGTTGACAGGTTGTATGATGTCGGGGGCCAGCGGAGCAAGCGGAGGAAGTGGCTCAGTTGCTTTGACTGTATTCAGGTCGTGCTGTTTGTCGTGTCCCTCAGCAGCTATGATATGACCCTGATGGAGGGCCCCTCAAGGGTATGAAAACCACTGATGGGTTGTAATCTCACGTGGTAAATCAAGTATAATTCCACAATTGATATTGAATTTAAAGCTAACATCCTTCATATACTCCTTGTTTTTCTACTTTTCCGTGTTTTTTCTCAAAGAATCGGCTGCAGGAAAGTCTTCAACTCTTTACATCAGTGTGCACCAACACGGTCTTTAACAGCACATCTCTGGTAAGCTTATTTTAGCTAACTTAAAGATGAACGTGTTTGGGATTCAATAAGGCATCATTTGGGTTTTGTTATGTCTGCCGCGCCTGTTTAAAGCTCATTTAAATTAAGTCTCTGAAGCTCTGAGTGGCTTTGCAGGTAGCAGCACAGAGCTATGATTGCACCTGAAATGCATAATTAGCAAACCAATTCTAATTGCATGTTGCATGTTTTGTAAATTGACTGTGAGCACTGTAAAATACTGTAATGAGTTTGTTTTGTTTTATAGTGAAAATGTCTGTTACCATTGATGAGCATAACAATTACTGTGTGTCTACACTTCAATCTATGGCCATTTCCACTTGCATCATTTGAAAATATTAAAAATTCTGGCTTAGAGATTCTCTAAAGGTGCTATGAGAAGGACGAATTGCATATTGGTGGGAGATTGCTCAAATTTTGACACATTATGTGGACCAGGGCATGAACTTGGATGGATTCGGTCACTTAATTATATATTATCTTGCTCTGAACCAATGTAATCAGTGGAGGCACAATAATTCCATAATCAGAAAAAGACAAGTTTATCACTGTATCATACAAGTGCTTTAAGACAAAAGATGGGGGGGGGGTTAGAACAAGGCTGAAAAGATGAAAATGAAAAGTACAAGTGATTACAGTTCTACAAAAGCACCATGAGAATAAAAGCAGTGGAAGAGAAAAGCCTTGCTCTCCACAGGCTCACTCACAGGAGGATGAAAGCAATTTTACATTTCATATTTGCAACATATTTTGGACCCAGACCAACAAGTAATTTATGTCAACAGCTTTGAAATAACTTCTGTATTTAACTTGAATGTGGTGCAAAGATTTAAAGAAACCTGTTCTCTCTTCTTCATCTTTATTTGTATTTTAACAGCAGCATTTTAAGTTGCCAACCGTCTAATGATCCTTTTTTAAATCTTGCTTGGATGCAGGCTCTAATTTACCACTGAAAGACATCAGCCACATTTTACATGTCTGTTGTCTTTTCACTCACAGATTCTGTTCATGAACAAAACTGATCTTTTCCGGAAGAAGATCCTATATTCTGGAAGACACTTGAGAATTTACCTTTCTGGTTATACAGGTACATTGTAAATTGTATAGTTTTGTGTATTTTTTTACTAACCCTGATTTTAAGTCATGAAGTTTCCATATGAGTCTGTGATTATTTGTATTTTTGTTTGAGAATCAGGTAAATGATAAAAGATCAGATCAGGAATCTGGTGAATCAACTTTTTAAAGCTATATTTCCAGTGTTGAGGCCTTGAACCCATACTTGAGTAACTCTGTCATGTGTCTAAAGCAAGGTTTTTCTATCTCTGGCACAACTCTGACAGCGTTTCTCCAGAGATTACATTCTGAAGAATTGGTTCAGGATCTTTAAACCCTCAGGGAATTGAGAAGTTTCTCTTTGTTTTGCTGGATGGATCGCTGTATCCTCCAGGTCCCTTAGATAATCAGAATTCCTTGTGACCAGAGATCTTCACAGAATTCATACAGTCCTGTGCATGTATCATTCTGGAGAGCACGTCTGTACATATTTCATGCTTTATTGACACACAAATCCCTTGACGTCAGTGCATCATGATTTGTGTGTGTATTCAGGGAGTTAAAGGAAAACTTATTATAGGATTCCCACCAGAAGCTGGTCCCATGTTTTATCAATAGTTTATGACTTGGAATAAAACATCTCTTTACTGAACTCGACTGGACGTCTCTAGATTTGTAATTTGTTCCTTCTGTTGTGACAATCCAGGAGCAGACAGTAACGTGGACGCTGCAGCCCACCACATCACTGCCATGTTTTCATCGTGCAACAGCAGTCCGGACAAGCCGGTGTACCACCACTTCACCACGGCTACAGACACCACCAACATCCAGGTGGTCTTCCACATGGTCATAGATCAGATCATCAGGGAGAACCTTGCAGCTGTGCAGCTGCTGTAAAAGTCTCCTGAAGACTAGTTCCATTTTATTCTGTTATTCACAGCAATGGAATTTAAATTCTATCTCGGCTGTACAAATGTTTTATAATTTCAGATCAATTAAATTAATTTATTTTAAGCTGCACATTTTATTTTAAAACATTTTAAATAAAAATATTTATTGATAAGCACGTCTGGATATTTTATTGATTAGGGTGATTTCCCCTTTATAGAACAAGATTTCCTCAAATCTGAAGATGCATCACAAATGGAAAAAAAATATTAATGAAAACACCAATATTGAGTGTTTTTTCCCTCTCAAGTCTTTTTGACATGCCACTAAATGACCACTAAGTGAATAATTCATCTTTGTGTAAGAGTAAATATCTTTCTAATTGGTTTTTAATGTCAAACACAGTATATTAAATGATTTAGTTACCTCCAGTGTTCATGAAGAAGAACAAGCACTAATCTGTTTTCCATTCAGTAATTTCAGCAAGGGGCTGCAACATGATTCATTTATTAATGAAAACTCAGTTCAGGTATTTACATCAATGCTTTGCTTTTACAGTTTAAAGATTAATGATCATTTTAATCATAAAATCAATAAATAAAGTGATGACAGTAAATTAAAAGTAGCACATCTTCCATGTGGTGCGACACCTTTTGTTAAACTTCACATTAAAATATAAATTTTTTTAAAATGTCATGCCCTCGAAGTTTGCTTCATCCTGCAGCAACAGTTGTCGGCTTCACTGATCAGTCTCCTGCACAATCCGAGGAGTCCAGGGAGAGAAGAACGTCCGCTTTACACTTGAACGAACCCTTGACCTCCTGGAGCAATTCACAGCTCTGCAGGTTTGGTGTAATGTCTTTGATGCAAACAGGCTGTGGAGAGAAATTGACAAATCACACATTTCCATTAGATTGTGCTTCAATCAGACAGTGTGATGTTTGTCAAATATTACCACAGAAAACTGGTATCAATCAATAACATGGACCTCATCTCAGCAGTTCTGACCTACCCTAACCCTAAATACATTTACTCTGCACACATGCATGAGTATGTTTAAGGTATTCTTCAAAAGTCTTCTCTTACTTGGCTTAATGTTTGCCAAGTGTACCGAAGAGTACATTTGTAGCTAAAGAAAATCCCATATACACAAAGCATGAAGTCAGCTTTAAAGGTAAAGAGGGTGGAAATGCTCCACTAGCTTCATTACAATGTTTCAACACGTCTATGAAATCATAGATAAATGTTAACCATCATGATAGAAATTGACAGTGACCTTTCTGCTGCATACACAAACGTTTTACCGCTGATTTCAAAAATCTTTCACTTGTAATAAAGTAGATTTATGTTACTGTAGTTATTTAAGAATATAAATACTTCTACACCAACCCCAAGACCATAGTATTGCAGTTACAAATGTTTTTACAAGTCTTGAGTAGTGGATATTTCCAGACTGAACAGCCCATGACAGAAGTCTGAGTTGGTTTCATGAGATAATGTATTAAATTAAAAGGTAAATTATATCATTATTTATACAAGAAAGTATTCTGGTCTAGTGATGAGATAAAACATTTTTTTACACTAAACTATTGCTGGAGCTCATTTAAACTCACCATTGTATGCAACAGCGCAGAAAGAAAATATTACTGAACATTAAAAAAATTTAATCAATCTCACCGTCAATAAGACTTAAAATCACTAATAGTTGATGTTCTGACATTATAAGGTAAAAGTCTACAGGTTCAACAATTAAACCGATTTTAAACGTGGATGCACTTTTGCGCCCTCGCACCGAGCCCTTGCCGTGCGTAATGCGTAATGGCCATCCTATCCAACCCATAACAACCAGCAGTTAAGCTGATACAAAAAGATTATCACTTACCATTGTCTTCAGAATGGAGTTGCGCGAAGTTAATTCAGAAAACAGGCTGTTGGTCGCAGACTCTCCGCTGTCTGACGGCTCCAGCTCCGCTCTCCTGACGTACGGTGACCTCCGGATGCCGGACAACAAACCGGACGCTCTGCCCACCGAGTAGTAGCTTGGCCCGGCCACCTGCTTGTACCACGCCTCCGTAGGACTGCAGGCGATGAGCGCGGAGATCAGCACCATGCGGAGGATCAGGTTAGCGGGCATCTCCATGTCGAGCGGTGAGGTTCGGGTCCTGAGCTCCTCTGGACTGGTCCTTCCTCGTTGTCATCGCTCACTGACTCTTCTTCAGTCTACTTATAGAGACCCCGTGATCACGCTCACTGTTTCGTCAACGCAGACGGCTCGTGGGAGGTCGATTCACGGATAACACCCACCACAGGGAACTCCACAAAGTTACAGCTTCTGGGAGGTTTGAAAAATTAAGTTTGTCTTAAAGGTCCAGTGTGTAAGATTTAGGTGAAAGGGATCTATCGGCAGAAATTTAATGTAGAATAATCCTCATGATGTTTTCACTAGTTCGTTTCATCTAAATTGTATGAACTGTAGTTTTCTTTACCCCAGTAAAGACCCTTTATATTTAAATCGTGAGGTATCCTCTCTACGGAAGCCGCATATTTTTTTTTTTTTACAGTAGTCCAGACTGGACAAACTAAACACTTTTTATGACAATTAATGGCTGCTACAGTTTCTTTTTCATGTTTGGAAGGTGAGGGGTGTTCAGCTGCAACATGCAACTTCAACACTAGATATCACAAAATTCTACACACTGTACCTTTAATATCCTGGAATCAATTGAACAAAAATAATAATAGTGGAGCTGTATAACCAAAATGATTTTTAAATACTTTTCACACCTTGTTTTGTTTGATTCACTTATTTATTTTGTCTTCCTAGCCCATGATGGAGTTCCATGTACATATATAGTCTGCAACTCTTTGTCATGTGCCTTTTTGTTAATTTACACACAATAAAGATTTCCATTCCTAACTAGAATGGCACTTAGTAGATGTAAAATGTAATGGATTCTTTTTTTGCCCCTATATCCCATCATTTCTGTCTCGATTCACAAAGATCCGTTTTGTAATTTTTGCAAAATCCTGCAAAAAAACCAACGGACAGGGGTAAAAAAAAAAAAAATCTCCTTGATAAGGCAGGTAATTTGATTCTGTCTAATACTAAATCCACAGTATTTCACTGTCTCATTGGTCAAACTAACAAACATTTCATGGGCTGAGTGTCCCAAGATCTATTTTTCACATGGAAGCTGAATTTAAAGTATGTACAGGACGCAGATGACAGAAATAAGGGAAATATTTAGCCAGTGTATTGTTCCGGTTGACCTACAGAGCTTCCCACAAGCGTTTGAAAACTGATTACAAAGGTAAAACCATCATTTGTCTGTAAGTGGAAATAGTTTCATACTGCACACACAAGCTCGAGCTGGACATTGGTGCTGCTGTTTCTGGCTGGTAAAGTGCAGCACTCACAAGTTACTCAACGCTTTATTAAAACGATAATATCTCACAGGATATGAAGGAATCCATCTCTTTCAGGAGTGTTCTGTGATGCCTGGAAAGTGGAGTATCAACAAATCTCCTCATCTCAAGAGTTGGTTTACTTTTTCCAGAAGTTTAAACAAAAGTAAAAACAAGATTTCTTCTGAAGCTGCACTTTCCTCTTCCAGATTTGAACATTTTGGAGCCAAAATGAATAAAACCAGAACAATGATGAAGGTAAATCTGACCTGCAATTAACTGCTGTGACCTCTTATCTTCAGAGAACCCACAAATAAACTTTATTCGAACAACAACCAACACAAAATCTGAAATCTAAACTTGTTCTCTTAAAACAAACACAAAGACAACTTCAGGAATCCTAAGTATTGATGTTGAATGTGAGTTTTGGATACAGGATCAATTATTGAACCGAAGCTGAAGGTGTCTACTGGCTCACACATATTGCATCTGCTTTAAAAGATGATTCCTCTGTTTGTACGTCACTCGTCTGTGATGTAGATTACTGGCCGACTCTAGGGGGCCTTCATTTTAGTTGGAATTTACCACCTTGAACTACACCTTTCAATCAGATGGATGAAAAACACATTACTACATAAACTTATACGCATATGATACATACTACACATGTACAGTATACTAAAAGTAAGAACTTCTTCACAGAAGTTTATTGCGTTGTTTTTAATTTGTCTGCTGGGAGCCAAAATTTATGTCAACCGTTCAAACGCATTTCAAGGTATATGACTGTATCTCCCCCCTCCTGGCTTTCCCCCAGGGCTTTAGTGAGTACCAGGTTACATAATACAAAAAGTTACCCTCATATGCAGACAACCATCACTGTAACTACCTGATAAAAGTCTCCAGCCGACACTCGGGTGTCACACTTGGAGTCTGTTTGTCTGATTTTACACAGCTTCCTGTGAAACCACAAAAGGCTTTACACACCCTTTCTTTCAAATGTGCAGTAAAACTCCTGCAGACAGACTCAAAATATACTACCAGCTTAAAATGGAGTAAACTCTTACAGTTTGCATGTAAATATACTGAAAACAATGAGGAATAGGACACTTAATCAGCACTATCTGTGTTGCAGTGCATCTGCCTGTTCTTTCACCACAACAAAGTCACATCATAGATAAGTGACACATTTCCTTTTAGAGGGGTTTCATATCAATACCAGACATGTAATTGCGTGTCTGAGGTGCCTGTGACCTGATTTAGGGGTAGACAGCACATGCAGCCTGCAGAGCTGATTGATGAAGAGCTTTTAGATTGCTGGTCTGTCACTGAGAAGAGTTTCAGCATGTTCACTGAGCACAGAAACCTAACCTGGACACTGAGGCTCCTGCTTCTGTCTGGTAAGAACAACACTTACATCTCATTTAAGGCAATGTTAAAATCAATAAATAAAATATGCATTTATTACATTTATCCCAGGTGTTTTCTGCAAAGAGTGGAACGTGAAATATCAAGACAGTGTCTGTGCAGTGAAAGGCTCAGCTGTCGTCATTCCATGTTCATTTGACTATCCCGAAAAAGAGAAAGTAAAAGACGTCATGTGGGGTCATGAAAAGTATAATATTTTTGAGGGGCCTTTCATCTGGACTGGGATGTCAAATGATTCCTCAAGATTTCAGTATATTGGGAACAAACTTCACAATTGTTCTCTAATAATAAAGCAAGTAGAGCATAATGATACAGGTAAATATGCATTCAGATTCATAACCAAATCCAAAAATGGCAAGTGGACCGGCGCAGAGGGCTCGATATTAAAGATTGTTGGTAAGTTTTCTGTTCTTAAGAATTTATGAAACTGTGAATCTTCTGCACTTGATTCTGTTAAGTTTGTAAGTAAAGCAGCACTTTGTTCCTCTAGATTTGCAAACTGTGGTGACAAACACGGACAGACATGGAGCGATAAAGGAAGGTGACTCTGTGAATGTGACTTGTAGAAAAAGCTGTGATGGCGGTAACATCTCATCTGCTTTCATCTGGATTAAGAACGGAAAGTCCATCTATGAAGGACCTTCACTTTATTGGAGAGACATTTCCCCTGCAAACTCTGGAAATTACACTTGTTCCCTCAAAGCTCACAGTGAGACGACCTCAGGGGTCGTAAATATTAATGTTGAATGTGAGTTTTGGACACGAGATCGAGAACAAAGAACAAATTAAAACTGTATGACAATGAAAATGAATTATTCAGCGAAGCATTAAGTGTATTGATGTTTGGAAAACCAACCTCAAAATAATACATTTTTGAGTTTGCAACATGAGTTCTCCGACAGCTGAATAACTCTTTTTTTTCCCCAGATGGCCCTAAGAACACATCAGGTTCCGTCCGACCATCGACGGAGGTGGATGATGGCAGCAATTTTATTCTCACCTGCAGCAGCAGTGCAAACCCCCCGGTGGAGAATTACACTTGGTTTAAAGTTGATGATGATAAGGATATTAAAATTGTTGGAAACAAGTCTGAGCTGCACTTTAGAGAGGTTTCTGTTGCCGCTGGTGGCCGGTACTTATGCAGTGCCACCAACAGACATGGAAGTCAAAATTCTACAATAGTGACTTTAAAAGTTAAAGGTAAGTTGGTTCAGCTACAACAGTTGCATGATAATAGGTTTTATCGCTGACACTTTATTAGGTACACCTCCAGAATTATTTTCTCTGAGGTCCCAGGTAAAGTGTACTGCTATACATTATGCTCAGCATATCGTGCCGTCCAGTTAAATAAACAGCAGTGCTTAACGTATAATTTGATTATGACACACCGGCAACTAAAAACTGTAAAAGAACAATAAAAGGAGAACGTGTATTGCAGAAGAGTTTTTATCGGATTGAAAAGGATTGTACAGGTGTACCTAATAAAGTGGACACTAGATGTGCACTGATGAAAGTTTTTATTTTAAATGATCACAAGAACAGTTGATTTAGATTGATTTTCATGTTTTGACTTGGATCTGACGTAAGACAAAAATACCTGTCCTCTTACAAACTGCCTTTTTCATCGCAGCACATTTTCCATATATATTTATTCTTGCCACTGCTACTGCTGCACTTCTGATCGTTGCTGCCGTTGTTATCGCCGTCAGAAGGTAAGCTGTGTTTACACTGTGTCACTACAGTAGATTATTATTGTGCAATACTCGTATACAATGATAACGTGATGATGTGACAACGTCTGGGTTTCAGATTCAATAAAAAAAGGGCAGAGAAACCAGAGGCTGATCATGTGGAGGACCAGCAGGAGACACTATCCGTAGATATTTACTTTTTAAAGTTTATTATGGTTCCATTGTGTTCCTAATAAAGTGCTTGGTGAGCGTGTATATTGAACGTTGCATATTAAGGGTTAATGTGTTGGAGGAGTTGCACTGAGGTTGTTCTGTGCACATGTTAAGCAGGTTTTCAAAAACTTAAAATTTAACCCACATCCAAATTCTCTGAATGCTTCAAGGAAATCAGACACGAGACCACATAGGTTGTTTCTGTTGTGTGGGTTTAGCTCAGAATCGAAACGTCGGATGACAAGAACACTGTTCCACGTTAATCACACTATGTGTTATTCTTGATTGTATCTAGAACACGTTATACCTCAACTGGCCCAGATCTGAAAACAGCAATGAGGGAAATCAGTGCGAGGAACAAAATATAGAATGTGTCTACACAACCATTGACTTCAACACCAAGAGGAAGTCAAACATGTGAGCTATCTCTGCAATTTTCTTTCACAAAATGAATGTTACATTAGAGGAGCTCATCAACTTTATCAACTGCAGGAGGCGACAGATGGACTCTCATAACAATGATGAAGGTGTGATCTACAGCATGGTGCAGGTAAAGATCAGCAAGCACTTGCATTTTGA